TGGTTTATTAATGAAAATCAACGGTTTTGGGAAAAAAAGGGTTTTGAGAAAAAATGGAACCAATCAGGTGACCAGTTCCCGGTTTTTCTGGTCCGATCCGGTTTTGAAAACCATGGTTAGGAGCTTTGGAGATGGGTCTTGGCTATGAAGATCGTCCTTAAGGCTCAGTTTGGAAGGATACAAATGCAAATATATAGAGTRCAAAACCTTATATTTTATATGTATTTACACTGCACATATTTGCATTTATACTCTTTACAAACTGAGCCTAAATCACTAAAACAGATAAGATGTGAGATGTACCATTCCAGAGCTATCGTATTTGTTAAAAAAAAAAAACCTCTTGTGATTAATTTAAGATCTTCCTGACTGACAAAGCCCGTGATGGTAGCTTTGCTCCAATCCATATCCATATACATGGAAATGGGATAATGGTACTACTCTTGGTATCACCATACTTATCATCTCGTTCATATTCTGCATATCCACACCTTTCATCAGATATGGGCCCTACCCATTGGATCAGAATATAAAGTTTTTTGTCCACCCTTTGTTTGAGAGATATTCACATATTAGAATTTAAGTCCAATTAAAAATTTAATATCTGAATTTGATTCAATATTTGATAGATATTGAAAATTAATAATTGAATTTAAATTCAATTCGATTTGAATTTGACCAATTAATTATTTTAGCCAAATGATGATTATATAAAGTAAATATTTTATTTATATAAATATATAACTTATTTATATAATTTAATTATTATATATAAATTATATAAAATATTTAAATATTGTATATAAGAATTAAATAATCAATTAAATTCAGATATTTATCAAATCAAATTAAGTCATATCTGAATTGGACCGATTAGATATTCGAATTTGATTCAATTGAATCTCGAATTTGAAATTGAATTTTCGAATACTGTTGACACCCCTAACATTGATAATATATTGTTCTCTCTCTCTCTCGTTTTACTAAAAGAAAATGTGTCTTTCACTTTACTTTATTGGATATTAGTTGGAAGCCATGAGATGCACGAAATTGGTTCAGCAAAATTGAAGATGGAATTCTAATAATGTTTTAAAGTTGTTAATGTTCAAACTTCAAACATAAAATATAACACTTAAAATCATATTTTCCTTCTATATACTAAATTTACCTTGCCAAGCACAAGATTTTGTTAAATAAAACTAAATAAGGAATTGTATGAGATTTCTAAGCTTTTTAGACTACTAATTTTAAAAGACTTAAAACTCCCTTCAGATTTCCCCTAAATACTGAAATCTCCCCTCATTTTTTATTTAGACTATAATGCCGCCCCTGTTTGAGTTATATCCAGTAGAATCATTAAAAAGTCTTAAAATTTTTAAATTTTCAAAATAGTGGAATTGTTTCAAAACAGAAAATAGAAAGTGTCGCTTCCACCTTTAATTTTCCTAACAACAATTCAAACCATGTGACTACTCCATCTGAAACTTTTGCACTTTTTTTTTCAGCACTTCCATGACTAATTTATCCTCGTTCCTGAAATTTTTCATCTTAGAAACTTTTTATATTATTTGTTCATTATTTGCTTTTTACGTTTCAGATCTAGTGATTTCATGGAAAGTTTGTTTCCACCACCACTTCCTAGAGCAGGTAAAAGATAGGTATTATTGCTCATTTAAACTCAACTTTTTTTTTTTTTTTGGGGGGGGGGGGGGGGGGGCTCAATTTGGCTTTGAACCACCGAACTCATCAGGTGGTTAAATTTTGCTCTTTCAATTGATTTTCACAATCTGTTGATGGATCATGATGGGTTCGGTATTACCAATTCAATGTTTGTTTTTCTTATGTTCATCTAAAACGTCATAATATAAATGAATAGATTGCTTACGCACTAAAAAGTAAACTGTACAACAATTAATATAGAGGGTTTCATTAACGGGAAGAATAGATTGCTCAGTCCATGAGATCAGAAAAATAACCAGAATTCAAAAAGCTAATTAGGTCACTCATTCACCGGTTCAACCACCCAGTCCGTTCATGTCAGAGGACAGTGGTATCATCCCAGGATGGTGAAATTTTCTGCCTAATTAATTGCCAACGTTTCTAGGTCCACTTATTCAGGAATGTGCTCGTTGCTCGAATTATGTTTGTCTTTTAGGCCTTCATTTATATTTGATCGATAAAACTTTTGTGTTTGGTTAGAGCATGCATGTTATATTATGTGCTTCTGTGTATTAATTCCGATTTATCGTTTTTTACTTTTTTGGTAGAAAAGGAAAAAAAAAAAAAATGGACCACGCAAAACATGATAGACCTCTCCAGAAATCATTCGTACAAATATAATTGAATTATTGCCATTGCCACCCTAAATTAGAATTAGAAGAACATGCTTTCCGAATTATTGGAGATGCTTAAAATTGGTTAACCAATCTGCTGGCAAATTTGCTTCTCTGAACGCATTCGAGTATCAAATTGTTAACCCATGAAACGATTACAGTGAGAAACAGTCTTCAACAATAGAAGACTTCACCCTTTAGGTTAATCAAGTACAGTGGGAAACAGTGTTCAACCAATTCGTCGAATCGGTTGGTTTGGAATTTTTAAAAAATCAAAAAAAACCCTAACCAATTTCTTTGGTACATTGACTACCTAATTAAAACACTTTAATCAATCAAAGTGGTGTCATGTGAATGTAAATGAAATAACATCTGATTGCCATACTTTTTGGTGCTATAGTGGGACTCACATATACAAATAAAGTTACAAACCAAGATGAATTCTGTGGGGGAGGATCCTCTACCTTTTCCAACCAGGTGGTTCCGTGAAAGTTTTCTTCATTTTATGGAAGAATCAAAGGAAGAAAATAGAAAAAGTGGTGGTGAAACTGTTACAAATGCTTACTCTTTTCATCATCCACCCTACTCTTTCTCAGTTTAGTCATATCAAATTTAAGAAGTGGGTCTTATAATTTTTTCTTTTTCCCATGTAAACTCTTACTGCATTTTTAATATATATAATAAAAAACTTTGAAACAAAATTAAAAATTAATTAAAAGATTTTCTGTGGAAAATTCCTTCTCTACTTTCAGAAGCCCATAGAAACTCCTCTATCATGGGGTCCAGTGCATCTCTCAGGTGTCCAAAAAAATGAAATCCCAATCTAACCTTGAAGTCGATTTATTTTCTAATTTAAATTAGAAAGTTAGTCAATATCCTGCAATAAAAAATTAAATCTAATTTATGTTGCTAACTAGAATATAAAAAACATCCCAAATTCACAAAGTTTTGAAGACGTCATATTGTGTGTCCCATTCTCATAGAACTTTTAGATAAAATAAAATAGTTCTATAAAAGTGGATTATTTCACTGTAAATCAAACCTAATTTAGTCGTCTTCTATTCAAAATTAAAATCCCAGAAGAAAACAGAAACTCTCTCTCCCCTTTTTTTCTCATGTGTCCAAGAGCTGTTTGGTTTTGGTAGATCTGATTCGAATACGCAATACGTCAATAAACTAGTAGTAGGTGGTCCCCATGACCTTATCCAATAGGAGGGGAGCATCGGTTTGTTTGGGATGGGCTTGATGGGTCGCTAATCCTATCGTGTCGCTAACAAACAAAGTATAGAAAAACAAGCGTCCGTCCAAGTTGCTGTCTGTAGTTTCTGGATAATATCTACTAAACAAAGCAAACCCAATTCGTGGGGGGCACATGACAGGCACGTGGTTTTCGATCCCTCAGGCCTCGGTCAGTCCGTAGGTGGTTAGCCCTCAAATATGGAAACCAAATAGCTATGGCCGCCTGTCGCCTGTGGTTTTACAAGGGGGAGGGGCATTTCAATTTTCACATTTGGATTTTGGGTGTGAGAGAGTCTTCTCATCTTCTATTATTCGGTACTGACATACCCACCGTAATAAACACTTCTAGACTGGGTTCCACTTCCACAGACGATTATTGGTTGGTTGGAAAACGCAACAGGTAACAGGCTATGGCTATGGGTGATGAAGGAATTACAGTTTCCAATGAATGAACTAACAAATACATCGCATCCAGATGCTCAATAGACAAATAGCGGAATAAGAAGGAACAGAAATGGTGTGCGTAGTAGTGACTGATGTAATGAGAATTAAAGCTTTAGCTGAAATTCTGGTTGGACGGTACACAGATTCAGAGCCCATTGTTTCTTCGACGGTGGATGAATGATGGATGATCCACAGAAATATATGTACTACAGTTCTCTCACATTGCACTTGCAGCTGCTGGTTGTCGTCTTTTGATTCCCAACAACGAATAAAATTTATGATGCTTTCAGCTTACGTTCCTCTGTCTTTAATCTCCCCATTAATGTCTGTCTGGGGTCCGAGTGTCTGACTCCCACTACTACTGCATTATCCAAGGTTACTAATTAATTTTCTTTTTAAAGGTTTATCATTATCTAAGCATTTATTGTAACAATTAACAATATTTTCAATAATCTAGTAATCTACCCTCCAACGGAATTTGCTGAAATGAAATCCAGGGGGCATCAATCTTGGACTTGAAGCTAGCCACTTAACCCATCATCATCAATGGGGGGCATGCCGGGCTCCATGCTCTCCATGATAGAAACTCTGGTTTCTACAACCGATACCATTAACCAAGTTCACTGTTCACTTGCTCCTTTTATCGAGCAAGAAACAAGATAGTAACCTCCTACCCAATCTTCAAACCTCAATTATTAATGCACATAACTAAAGTGAACCGAGCAAACACACAGACGACTGATCAATGTATTTTCCATAATAAACTAATTATTAATGGCGGGATTTATTGTTTGGATCAATAAAAACAGAGTAGAAGATGAGAGATATTCAATTCTTCAATTACACAGGCATATATAATAAAGGTACAACAAGAGGGAATGGACGCCTACGAGGATCATCCATTTGGTTTTGGAGCCATAACCACTTTGGAAAATTTTCCAAGACATAATTGAATAGATCAATAGGAGAGTAACGAGGCCCAGGTGGTTGGAAAAACCAAGCAACTTCATAAAACCCTAAAATCAGTTCTGACTGAACTGAAGTTTCCTTTTATCCCCCACCATCCACATTCCACCGTCACTGTGAAACAAACTTTTCCTCGTCCCTACTAAAAATCTGAAAAGAAAGAGAGATAGAAGTGAACAACAAGTTGCGAAGACTGTTACATGGAGATATCCTGCATTAACTTCGCTTACATAAATCAGGCCTCTGGGCAGGCAGGCAAAGAAAACCAACAGAGCCACATAAAGAAAATGAAAAAAAAAAAACATTAGACGAGGAAAAAGGTAATAAAAGAAGAAAAACAAAATATAACATTTCCTTCTTTTTTTCTTTTCTTTGGTTCGATTGATCATGTCAGGTTCTCTTGATTCTTGGCTGAAAGCCGTTTAAGAAATTCGTAAGTGGTGATCATGGTGGTTGCAGACATGGACATGGAAGCCCACCTTGGGCCTAATCCCCTGTAACAGGCAGTCCATCCACCTTCTTTAACCAAATTCCTTATCGTCTGTCCAACCGTGAGGGGTCGGCGGCAACCGTTCTCCTCTGCATCCAAGACCTGTAGTCTCGTCTTGATGGTATCAAGAGGCATTGTGATTAACGCAGAGACGCCGCCTGCCATGGCTGCGCTTACCCCCTGAACTGCCACCACTGTCTTCGTATCAGGCCGGAAGATGCCACCGTTGCCGCTGCCCATACCCTCTCTATTCTCCTCGTCTTTTTTATAGAAATAGCAACCAATTCCACCCCAGATGAGTCTCTGAGCAACGGAATACGATGCCCACCAGACGGCATTCGAGGGTGCGTAGGTTAATATCGATATCCCGAATCCCCTGTACAGGCCTCGGAGCCCGTCGGCCGTCAGAATTTTCCGAAACGCATCAATTCCACCCCGGTATTTACAAGATGATACATTGGGATTGCTGGGATTGCTGCTGACGCTGCTGCTGCTCTGAACCATGAGTCTTTGGCTCACGACATCGATCGGGGTCCAAACGAGCTGTGCCGCCATGGCTGCACTGAGGCCTGCGGCAGCGTTGGCAATTGCTGCGGCTGTTGGCTCCGGAAATCCCAAACGGACGGTGGCGGTTCCAACGTTGCTCTTCGTGACCTCAAGCGCTGTCATGTAGAGAGCCCGAGCGGGGATTGTGCCCATCAGCGATGTGCCGAAGCCCCTATATAGGCCTCGGTAACCTTCGTGGCGCAGGATGGAGAAGGCTATTCTGATACAAGGAATCTGTGTTTGCGAGACCTGTTGCCGAGTCTTGAGCACCACAACAGGGTACAGTGCGCCCGAGACGCCGGAAAAGAGAGCGGCGCCCAAAAAGAAGAATTTGGATTTGTCTAGCATTTGCCAATCGATATCTGCCGGAAGATGGATCTCCGGTGCCGAATCTTCATCGGCAGTGCTCAAACTCATCTTCGCCACTTTCGAGATCAAAAATAAGACCAATAATAGATGAAATATTGAATGAATTCCCCTTCTCTTGTCTTCTCTCTTCCCTTCCAATCCAATCCACTCAAAATCTAAAACCCTAACTATACAAACTGAGAAAAAGAAAATCACAAAAAAAATAATAATAAAGGCAAATCCCTAACTGTACAATGACCAGAGAGCCCGTAGTATAATACAGAATTATAAATTCAGGGAAATTAAAACACTTGTTATAATACAGAAAATTGAAATTACAAATATAAATTTTTTCCTTTTCCTAAACCAGATTTTGGATCGGACGTGGCTTACAACAAATGGATCGACCATTTCTCGCAAACAAACTCAGGTTCGACGATGTCCCTTACCGAAGAACCGGATTCGATCCTTATCCCATCCATCTCCAATCGCCGACAGGAAAAAATCCGCCGGAGAGAGCAGATCTTGCCGGGATATCTAGGGATTCATTCATCAGAAAAATATAAATCAGAGCAAAATAGAAATTTATTATTAACAGTAGATGGATTTAGAAATGATAAAGAGAGGGAGGGAGGGAGGGAGGGAGGGAGAGGAAGAGGGTCGATGCGGCTTCGCGAAAAGCGAAGGAGTTTATGGCCACCGGATTCGACAGCGTCAACTAAAATTGGGGCGAAGAGCCATAAGGCTAGGGATTTTGAGGGAGAAGTTTTTGCGATCCTCGATGATTCCAACACGTGTCCTTATCTTATTCGTCATCTCTTTAGGGTTTAGCGAGGCGGTGATCGAAAGTGAAATATTGACACGTAGGCCAAGTGTCAGTCCTATCCACTATACTAATAAGATGCGGGCGATGGATGTCCGTACGCTGCTCCCACTGGACTCCGGACGGGACCAACCAATGGACGAGTCCGGATTTCCTCCCATAAACAGCGAAACCTCTGCATTATTCACCGAATCCTACGGTACATCGGGAATATCTCTCCTACATACATGTATGTGAAACAGGGGGATGTGGAGATGTTCCCAATATATGCGGCCGATGCTATCTCGTCTCTCCAATAGACCCACCGGCACAGCATGAGCTTGGCCAATACGCAGGGCCCAGCCCAATCCTAGGCGATTTTAAAATATTAATGGATCTCAGGCCTGCGTTGTGGGGCTCAAATATAATCTGCACGTTGAAGGTCCAAGATTGAGAATCCAAGAGAGGAAGGATGATAAATAACATTATTTGAGTTGAGAGCAAATTTATAACAAAATTTACGAGGATATAATTAGTTATTTAGGCTCAGTATGGAAAGAGTATAAATACAGTACAAAGTAGGGGCAAGTTGGGCCGGGATAGTTGGGTTGAGGTTAACCCTAAGTTATAAACCCCCAACCCAAATCCTAACCCAACCCAACCTATTCAACCTAAACCCTGACCCTAACAAATTTCTTCAACCCTAGCCTAACTCAATCCACCTTAATCCAAAGTCAACTTCGGGTTGAGTCCAACCCAACCTTCTTTTCATCCCTTAAAATTTTGTAGAACTTCTTAATCTTAGATTTTAACTCAACTTTCATTACATATATAAATTCTATGCTTTTTTAGTATTTGTTTGTTGATGTTTTTATCATGGTTTTTCGAACCATCGTTGACATGGATGGTCAAACCATTTGGCTCGAAAACCATCTAGACAACCAGTTTAGTTTTACCCCAAACCCAGCCCCTGGAAAAAACTGTTGAATCGGTCAATGACCCGTTAACCCAAGCAATTGAACCATCAACCCGTTCAACAGTTTTTGGCTGTTTTTAGATTTTAATTTTTAATTTTTTTAATTTATTTTGTCAGAATGGGTTGTCCGTTCAGATCGAGCGGTCGAACCATTAACCCAGAAACTGGTGGCTAGAACATTTCCGGTTCCAAGTTGTTTTTTAAAACATTGGTTTTTATTGATTCTTTAAATACAAAATTCAGAAAAAAAAAAGTGTTTGAAATGACTGTAGTTTATTATGATGACTTATAATAGATCTTTTATGGATAGCAAGATATGGGTGGCAAGCAATAGAGATGAGATAAAAAATAAAATTTTTAAAAAACATAAAATATGTTATCAATGTTTTAGTATTTCCAATTAGGATTAAGTGAAGTAATTATCTTAAACGAAGCCTTATGTTTTATATTGATAAACCTGTATGTATTGCACTCTTTCCAAACTGAGTCTTAATAATTTAGAAAAGCTTGATTACTTAATAATATACAATATACAGTATCAACTATGAAGGCCATTTTTAGTTTAGTTTATTAATGCTACAGAATTTCCAAATTACAATCCAATTTAATTTCAAATTCAGTAAAAAAAATAAAAAAGCTAAGGAATAAGATTTAGTTCAAATATAAATAAAATATTGATCTAGGCATGAACCAATTTGCAACCATATGTAAGGGGTGCACTTGGGTGGATTGCAGAGATCATGGAGTGGGCTTAGTGTTAAGTATAGGAGCTTAACCTAGGCTCAGGTCCGACTTGTGCTCGGCTAGACCCATGGGCTGTGACGTCTTAGGCCCCAATCTTAAACCAAGACCAATCTTAGATCAAAGTCCAGGGTTGCAATTACGGCAAGCCTAACTTAAGCCTGACCCAACTCAACCCAAGCATTTGCATGGGTCAGACTTCAACTCTCAGGCTGTTGGTTGGGCTTGGGCCTTATCGCGCTCCACCAAAACTTGGATTGGATTTGGAAATGTTATCTATTCAGAAAAAAAAAAAAAAAAAAAAAAAAGGGAGGAGAGTCGATCAATGGGACTGTGTTTTGAAATCATCCACAGATGGTTTCAGAAACACGCCACACCATTAAAAGAACACCTAATGAGTTTGGTGTATATTTAGAGCCAAACAATCCAATGAATATCAATACTACCTAACACCCCGAAAATGGATTGTTAATTATAAAATAAATATCTCCTCAATTAAATAAGAAAACCTACCCAGAATTCCCACAAGAATGGTGGGTTTGAAACAAAATACATTGATGTGGTTGCCCCATATTAACTTGTTCACCCAAATTTCCCACATGAATTGGTGGGTAGTAATCTGCACTTATAATAATCAGCTTTTCTGAGAACAAATGGACTCTTGTACCAGCAAAGCTTCCAATAAAGAAGGTGATGTCTACAAGCAACTTAAGTTACATGCGGGATAATGTCTTGAAGGGCTGAACCTTCTCAGATTCTTTCTTTCCTGAACCAACAATAAGACAGAGGTAATGCTTTGTCTCCTCAACTTTAATGCCAGTTTCTTCAGATGGAGTCGGTCAGTTTTTTCTTTCTTACATTATGTCTCCTTTTGGGGTAAGCATGCTTGAATCAAACCAGCAACCTCAAGATTGCACGATATCGCCATGTAGATGTAGTTGATCTCATGGTAGAAAGAAAAATGAAAACCAAGCTGACATAACTTCTCTTATTGTTTCACCACATGGCCGGACAGTGAGAGCCCTGCACACTTTAGTATAGTTCCCCTGAAACTCCACAAGTTGACTCTCGAATGGCGCTAATGGAAGCAAATATAAGAAAAGAGTCTAGTGGGGCCCCGGTTCGGCTCTGCTTGACGCTGATGGCGAGTTGCGACGACTTGACTGAACCCAGGCAGCTATACCATAACGGAGGATATGGACCATCTGTTACAGAAAATATCGTCGAATTCCAACTCCAAAATCGGTGTATCGACCAGGGAAGATGAGAGGTAGGAGAAGAGATGAGATGAAATTGTTGAAGTTGTTGGACGCTGGGAGAGAGGAAGAGAGAGAGAACATGGAGTCAAGGATTCATGAAGCCGCCCTGAAGGGGAGCGTTGCTTGCTTGCTGGAATTACTTGAAGAAGATCCACTCATCCTCGATAGGACTATTGATACGGATGCTCGCATGTCGGAGACACCTCTGCACGTCGCGGCGATGCTGGGCCATGTCGATCTCGCCAGAGAACTTCTGACACGAAAACCCCAACTTGCCAGCGGGCTGAACGCCAAAGGGTCTTCACCTCTTCACTTGGCATCCGCCAAAGGGTACCTCCAAATAGTTAGAGATCTGATATCCATCTCTCCGGAAAATTGTCTCGCCCGGGATCAAGGTGGCAGAACCCCTCTTCACCTAGCAGCAATGAAAGGCCGAGTTGCAGTCCTGGACGAGTTAATCCGGGCCAAACCGGAAGCGAGTCGAGTGCCCCTGACGAGTCGAGGGGAGACAGTTCTACACCTATGCGTGAAGCACAACCGATTAGAGGCGTTAAAGCTATTGCTGGAGAAAGATGACGAGTCAGTAAACTGGAAGGATGAGGATGGCAACACCATCCTTCATCTCGCCGTGGTCAAGAAGAGCATCCGGGTATATCTTATTCCATTTCTATCAGAAGTTTCAGCAATCTGAATCTTTTTTTTGTTTTTTTGGTATTCCAGCAATCTGAATCATGGAGTTTAGTATATCTTGACGGGCAGCAGCTAATGGAGGATGAATTTATTATCTTTTTCTTTTTTTTTGTTAGGAAAAGCAAACCCATGAAATTATTATGCAGCTTTTTGATGAATTTATGCTGCTTAATTGATCCAGATAATGTGAACATTAATTGATTGTGCAGACCATAAGATTTCTTCTCGCTAATACCAGAGTAGAAGTAAACTCTCTGAATGCGAACGGCTGCACGGCCTTGGATGTTTTAGCGAAAGGCCCGGGAGATGCAAAAGACACCACCATCTACCAGATACTTGAAGGCACCGGGGCTCTGAGAGCCAAGGATATACCTCCGGCGGCAGCAGGCGATGAGATTCCTACAGCAAAAACTTCATCGACCAATAAGCAGGTTAAGAAGCCTAAGCCTGAGAAGAAGCGGCAAACGGATTGGCTGGGCAGGAAGAAAAGTGCACTGATGGTGGTGGCGTCGCTCATAGCAACGGTGGCCTTCCAGGGCGTAATTGCGCCACCGGGTGGCGTTTGGCAAGACGATCTCACAACCGATTCGAACGGCAATCCCGTAGAAAAGCCTCACTTCGCGGGGACATCTGTATTGGCCTACAACATTCCGATCGCCTACGGTCAGTACATAATCTTCAATACGCTCGGATTCCTTGCATCCCTGAGCATAATCTTGCTGCTGGTGAGCGGGCTACCTCTGAAACGACGGAGATGGATGTGGGCTCTAATGGTTATCATGTGGCTTGCCGTGTCGTCGCTGGTTCTGACGTACTTCATCTCGCTGCTGCACATGACGCCGGACAGTGTGAAGGGTGTTCTGTATTATGTAACCAAAATTTCGGTGCTGGCGTGGTTGGGATTGATGGGTGTTGTCTTACTGGCCAATTTTATTCGCGTCAAGTTATGGTTGGCGAGGAAGTATGGGGTGGTGAAGGAAACACAGATGAATAAGCCTGCAGTCCCTATGGACCCAAACCATGACTATGATTCTGGTGATGATTTTTGAAATATGGGTAATGCATTTCAGAAAATTCTTCGAAATCCATTTCAACTTTGTAAAGATGGCAGTACCTATTTGGTGATATTATCGAGTAAAGAGCACAGAGCTTCGCTGTTTTTGTGTGTTTGTTTGTTAATTTGGTTGTAGAGGTAGTAGCAGAAAGTGATTCATTGTTCTTTGATGTATAGAATATATGGAATGGTATATTTCAGACCAGACTATTTATTTTGAGAAGAAAAATTATTTGGGTTTGAATTTATATGCCCTTGCCTTAAAAAAAAAAAAAGTTTCAAATTTGAAAGAAAATAAATGACCAAATTACTTACATTTGTAAGGGATGCTAGAAATTTGTATTACCCACTTGTCCTTGGCCAAATTTCAGCCCAATTGTGGCCAAAATAGGTTTTTGTTTTCCTATCAAGATTAATCTCAAAGGGGATTAAAGCAATTCGCAGGAGAGCTACATGGACAAGGGCACCGTGAAGATAAGGTATTCAAACGATACCTAACTAGTCAAAATAACCAATTAACTATAGGTTTTTTTATTAAAAGAGGGGACCCTTCTTTTTTCTGATGAAGAGTCCCTTTGTTAACAATCAGGATTCGCTGCATCATTTTTTGTAGATGAGGAGAAACTAAGCACTTTCCCTCATTATTACTCTATTACTAATTTCAAAAGCAAGAACTATGCAATTYCAAATTCAATGGTGCTGAAAGTAGACCATTGCCTTCTTGAATGGAGAAAGTCCAACAAACTACTTGAAATAAAATAAAATAAAAGAATAATATGAATCTTTTTTACGGTCATGTGATGCAATGTTTTGAAATTCAGCATGGATTATGAATTGAAAATAAGGCCTGAATTTGGGCTAAAAAGTACATGAAAATTTAAGAAAAAGCATTAATTTAAAATATGAATTTACTATTAATCAACTAAAGTATGCAGTTTTTATGGATTCACCGTATAATTTTTTATTATTTATAATGCGATTATTCCATCTCAAACTGGTTCAGAATTGGAACCATCGAAGAGAAGCCAATGGAGGGTTGGCTCGTTGATATGTTAGCTTGTTTGTTCCAGGGTTGACGCGATATCAAATCCGGCAGTAAACATTTTGGGGAAAAAGGGGTAAGGGGGAAGTTATTAACGGTGAGTCGGTGAATGCATCGAATACTAAAAAAAGGACTGGCCTAGAAATTATTTTTATTCTCCTTCATTTGACCAATGGATGAAATGTATACCAAGAAGGAAAGAAGCTAAAAACAAGCGTTCAAATATTGAAGAATTTGACACATGCATTGGGCACACGACGCCATTAAATTGTAGAATTAGTTCATCCTTCAATTAACCCTCCATCAGTCGTCCCCAAAATTCCTACTTTCAGACAGATGCAGCAAGTGAGCAGTCGTCATCAGCCTTTAGACCCTTAATTTAACATTTTGATCTTACCTCTACCGAAGAATTTGACCGTTAAATCCCTCCGCGTCAACTCAACAGTGAAGCATGTTTTGTTCAAAAATCTTTTGAGTTGACTCTTCTTCAAGAAATTGAGCACAAAGCCATGATGGGCAGCTGTGAGGTAAGAGAGAGAGAGAGAGAGATGAGGGGAATGGAGGAGAGCAGGCTTCATGAGGCCGCTCTGAAAGGCAGCGTCGAATCACTAAAGGAATTGTTGCAAGAAGATCCGCTCCTTCTCGATCGAGTCATCATCGACTGCCCCCCGGAGACACCTCTGCACGTGGCCGCAACGCTCGGCCACATCGATTTTGCCAAGGAAGTTGTGCGTCGAAAGCCCGAACTCGCCCGGGAAATCGACTCTGAAGGGCATTCGCCCCTTCACCTGGCATCCGCAAAAGGGCACCTCCAACTGGTAAGAGTTTTGTTATCTGTCGATCCCGACACATGCCTCTCCACCGATCAAGATGGCAGGACCCCACTTCATCTTGCAGCCATGAAAGGCCGAGTTGCAGTCCTCGACGACTTAATCGAGGTCAACCCCGAGGCCAGTCAAGTCCTGACGGATCGCGGAGAGACCGTTCTACACCTCTGCGTGAAACACAATCGTTTTGACGCGCTTAAACTGTTGCTGAAGCGTGAGGAGCCAATACAGAAAGACGAATTTCTGAACAGGAAAGATCATGACGGCAACACCATCCTTCATCTGGCCCTGGCGAAGAAGCAGATTGAGGTACCTCCCACGACTACGTATTTATATCTAATGATCTGAATCTGGCCCGTTATTATATTTTGATTCCCAGCCCAGCCCAGCCAGGAGGTTTCTTGGATAACCCTTTAATTAATTCCCCTGAATACGAAATTATGAACAGAAAAGCTTTGCTCTCAAAAGTCAAAACAGAACAGAGCTACCCCTGCCTGCACCCAAACAACGGTCGGAACTAAATGTGGGTTTTTTCTTTGCAGACCATCAAATTTCTGCTAAACATCAATGGAATAAAAGTAAACACCTTCAACGCGAATGGATTTACTGCCTTAGATGTTCTGGTACAAAGCCAGGGAGATGCAAAAGACATGGAGATTGGAGAGTTACTTCGAGGCGCCGGAGGTTTGAGAGGAAAGGATTTACAACCTTCCACAGAATATAATTGGCTTCCGGATAAAGTGGGGATATCGGCGGTGACACCCACACAGGAAAAGCAGGGAAGCAGTTTCAGGCAGAAGGATGAGAAGAAGCATAGGGATTGGCTGGGAAGGAAAAAGAGTGCTTTGATGGTGGTGGCATCACTGATTGCGACGGTGGCCTTCCAAGCAGGGGTTTCCCCACCAGGTGGTGTTTGGCAAGACGAGCTGGCGACGGATGCCAACGGCAATCCTGCGAAAAACCCACACCATGTGGGAAGGTCAGTAATGGCATACGAGAAGAAAAGAGAGTATGGGCAGTTCATGATCTTCAACACAATAGGCTTCTTGGCATCTCTCAGTATAATACTGCTGCTGGTTAGTGGGCTACCATTAAAGCGACGGAGATGGATGTGGATTCAAATGGTGATAATGTGGATAGCAATCACGGCCATGGCGGTGACTTACTTCATTACTCTGGATGCCATGACGCCGGACCATGCCCGGCATGTCCTCTTTCACGTCAACAGAATTTCGGTGCTGACATGGTTGGGATTGATGGGGTTTCTTTTCATAGTTCATGTGCTCAGAATGACGACATGGTCGATGAGAAAGGTTAAAGAAGTCAAAGAAAAGCGAAGGCATCCCAAGGGTAGGGAGTCTTTTAGTCGATTCGATAATACGCATGAATTTGTTTGAGAGACCATTTTGATAAATTGCCAACCCAAATGGTCGAACTACTTCCGGTCCAGCCCGAGTCTAACGACATTATCAAAATGAAAATGAAGGATGGTTATTGTTTGATGTGGAAATTATATTTGTTACAATTACAATATGGTAGTATGTTAGTCATTGAGAAATTATCTTTATAGATAGATGGATAGTATAGGTGACAGCTGGATGGTTAGCCACAGTTCATTCACATAATTAAGTTTGGGTTTTCAAAAAAAAAGACACTGTTCATTATTTTCTACCTTAAAACTGAATCATACTATTCATTATTTCTTTTTCTTGATTTGAATGTAGAAAAATGTTTGTATTARAGTGAATATATGAAAGAAAAAGAAAGCAGATGGATCCAAATCATTATCCAAACTAATGCTCTAGAATTGAAAATGGAAGAAATAAGAAKAGCAGGTACAGTGAGGTTTTCAAGTAAACAATGGATGCATAGTGCGGGAATGCCTAAAAAGACATGACCCAAGTTTCAATACTAAAGAAACTTGGATGACCAATCCGCGAAGTACCAACGATCAATCTTACATGGGAGAGATTCACAATATTGTATCACTGTGGTCTGTAGAAAAAAATCAGCAATGCTCAGGCAAGAAACATAATCAGTCTGATTTGGGCAAGCGATCAATCTTAATCAAAATCTGTTGAGAAAGACACAATATCCCATGTCCGAATTGGGCTTTTTATATGATACTTAACCTTCCTTTTTCTCTTGTTTTTGTTCATATTTCATAATAGAAATCTCATCCTATTTAACTATCTGTCTCACACTTGGTAAATCATAATCATTCCTCTTGGTTCATTTAAACGGTGCTAAATGGATAGGAGCTTTCATTACTGGCATTCAGCTAGTCGCCAAATTCATTCGTCATCATTTAATATTCAACTAATGGCCAAAATTAATAAGACTTTAAGAACCCAATTACCAAAAAGGAAGAAAAATTGAAAAAACAAAAGGACCCATTGGTATTGGTATGATGGTTAAAACTTGGGGACGGAAGAAAAACCAATTGTAGATTAGCCAAGGTGATGATGATTCTTCACAACTGCCAGGGCATCATTTTCTGGTTTGTTTGAAAGCACAACCTCTGCTATTTTTGCTTTGCAACCAATTGAACTCCATGTGCTCACTGCCAAACAAAGTAGTTGTGATTTGCTTCTGCTTCACCGCCTGTGATAGTGTTTTTTCTTTGTTGTGAATTCAGACAGAACCCCTAACTCACTGTGACATCCAAGGAGTACATATTTTCAGAAAGAAAAAGTTTTGTGGAAAAATAATGGTATGCCTACAAAATTTGTCAATCGTGCTTCCTTTTGATTTAAGAGAAAAGGATGAGATTTGTTGCTCGTTGGACAATGATCTCGACGACTATGAATGCGAAAACGAGGTTCTTTTATGCTCGTTTGCATCGTATTTCTTGCTCTTTGTAAAAATTGTCATTTCCATTGTTTTCTTAATTATCAAATTCGATGGGGATGAACTGAGTGCCACCTCGTACCTCTTCCTCTTATTCTTCTTTCAAGAGAAGTAGAACTTTGGGCAGAGGCGGAGGTGGAGGAGGGCGGAGGAGTTGTCAGAGGTTGCAGAGGCAGAAGCAATAGTGGGTGGCAGCGCTAATAAATGATTTGCAAGAAAAAAAAGATTAATAATGTTTTTATCCTTGTTTGATGTTGTTTTTAAAAAGTTAATATATTTTTTAAAATTCATTAAAAATATTAATTTTATTGATATTAGAGGCCAAAAATTGTCTTTATCTATTATAATCCCAAAATAAAACCAGAGAGCATATTACATGAGAGAGGGATGTTAAAGAAACATGAGACACAGGTCACATGTGGTGAGTAGGAAATCGGGACTCAGTTTTTAAGAGTTCAGTGTAATGGCATGTTTTGAAATTGGGGTACTAAAGTAAGGCTACCCCTAATTGTTACGCAAAGACCTTTATTTTTTGGGGGGTAAAGACCAAGACCACTAAGTAGCCATTCCTCTTCATTTATTTGGTTGATTCAAACATCAAATCTTTTCAAAACAAGTTAACTTATGCCTAGAAGCAATCATATAGTGTGCCAAGAAAGCAAGTGTATATATATATAGATATAGATATAGTGGATATTTGCCTTAGGTTTTGTACATGCCATAAAAGTTTAATGCAAGTACCCTATATCATAATTTTGTTCCTTAGAGACCTTACATCATGTCCTAGCTGCATTTCATGAATATATCTCATACTTGTATGTTATTATTCATGGTGAGATGTTTTGAATTCACGATGGGATGTACTAGATTGTCACTTTGGTCTCCGAACTTTAAAACATGACAATCTAGTATCCGAACTTTCAAAACGCGACAATCTAGTACCTGTCGTTAATGGACCGTCAATCAACGTGCAAAAAGATACAATTACCCTTCGGCTTTTCAACATGGTGATTAGACAACTTTTCGTTGAAGAATTTAGCAGAACACCTTGACAGATGGTCACGTGTAGTCTAGTAGGGGTTCAAAGGGAATGTGCCAAGGCAGCATGTCTCTTTTATATTTTAATTTTAAAATTGAACAAAATAATTCAAGTGACCAATCACCTTTGACTTGGTTTATGACTTGCTTTATTAATGAGAAAGATTAAAAGAATTAATGGAAAAGATGAGAGAGAGTTAATAGCATAATTAGGGTCTGTTTGGTTCGTAGTCGAAATCAGATTTGGAATCGGAATCGGAATCGAAATCCTCTGGAATCGGAATCAGAATGGTCCATTCCTATAGTCTATTTGGTTCAGATAGTAATGAGAATGTGAATTAAAATAAACAGGAATGGAATTTCATTCCCAAGGGAGGGGCAAGGAATGGTCATTCCCTCAAATGGGGGTTCCAAACCCCTATTCTCGTGAACCAAACAGGGCCTTAATAAGAAAGGATTATTAAAAGAATTAATGGAAAAGAGGAGAGAGAGAAGGAAAGAGTTAATAATGTATTAATGATTAGTGTTAAAAATCTTGAAGGTACTTAATCACTTGAATTATTTTGTTTAACTTTAAAATTATAAAATTCAAAAAACCCACAAAAAGGATAAATACCATAAAGAAACCAGGAAGCACTTAAGGCTTCTGCTTGATAATAGTGCAGTAAGAAGTTGTTGAGGAACCTTCAGTCTAGGTCAGAATTTTGTAACTCCACTAGGGGATGAATCCTGACCGTGAATTGATGCCAAATTCACGGACAGAATGTGGTTTATGGAGGAGGGACTACTTATAAACTATGAGGCTGCCATCCAGAATTATGCATTGGGTTGCATAGTACTTAACCCATTTTTCCATAGGCGTGCGTTGAATCCATGTGTGAAATCGTTGAGTGTATATTTCCTGAGAATTTTCTCTCTAAAACTATTTTTTCCTCTACATTTAATTGGCTAGCTCTACATTTTTTGGCTACATCATTTTATTGGTTCGATTTAGAATGGGACATAAAGAAGAGAAAGAGTTAATATTAAAAACTTTAAAAGTGATTGAAAAGATAAATATTTAAAAAAAAAAACCAGATAAAAGACAAATGTCAAGAAGAAACCAGTTTGGCACATTGCTATTCTTAGGCTCCGTTTGGTTTGTGGGATGGGGGTGAGAAAAAAAAATATTTCAAAAATATTCTCTTTTCTCATATTTGTTTTGAGGGAAAGAGGGGAATGGGATGAGAAAAAAGTGGGATGCGAGATCTCAAAATGGGATGAGAAAACTCGAGTTTTCATCTCCCTCCTCCCATAAAACGACCATGCTGAAGGTCCCATGCACATTAACAGAGAAGGAATTCACTAGTATGCTGTCGTCGCTCTCATCATTTTTGGTTCGATGGTGACAGAGTAGTGGAGACAAAAAACAAAGAAGAAAAAGAAGCAAAAGAAGAAGAAGAAGAAGAAGAAGAAGAGAGGGAGAGAGAAGGACGCACAGATCTACCGCCGTTGCAACTTGCAGCAGTGGTGACGAAATGGAACAAGAGAGAAAATGGGGGAAGAGGGGAAGAAGGAGAAGAGAGAAGAATATCAGGGAAAGAGAGCAGGAGAGGGAAGCCGGAGATGGTTTAGATCCACCACTTCTCTTCCTTGTCGCTGCTCTATTCGGTCAAGAGGATGAGAGTGAATAGTGGATTCCTTCATAAACTTCTCCCCCTTTTTATATTTTCCCATTCTATCCCATCCCAATAAAACCAAACAATGAAAATTTAATTTTTTACACTTTTTCATCACATCCCGTCTTTTTCCATCTCACCCAAATCTTTTCCCATCCTATCCCATCTTTTTCCATCCTACCCAAATCTTCCTACAAACCAAACGGAACCTTAACGACAAAGACAATTACTAAGAAACAGAGAGAAATTCTCAGAACCTTCTATCCTTTTCTCGACTCTGGCAGACGAAGACGAAGAGGCAACAGTCGGAAACTTCTTTAAACCAAGGGTTACTCCCTCCAGAAACTTCCATTTTCATCCAGAAACACAGCATTGCTCCCTCCAGAAACTTCTCGTTCCGCTCACCCTCTCCTCTCGTCTCCTCCTATAAATTAACATCTCCCTCTTTCTATCCCATTGCAACACATCGCAGAAAAGTTAGACGAAAGCTACCTCCAAATACCTCCCGGTTTCTGATAAATTCTCCCGTCAATAAAGTAGAAGCAAAGGAAATGGATTTGAGGATTATGGATTTCGACAGCCCTCTGTTTTCGACTCTCCAGCACATGCTCGACGTGTCTGAGGAGGCTGACAAGTCGTTCAACGCTCCGACGAGGACCTATGTTCGCGACGCCAAGGCCATGGCTTCGACTCCGGCAGACGTTAAGGAATACCCCAACTCCTATGCGTTCATCGTCGACATGCCTGGGCTTAAATCCGGAGACATCAAGGTTCAGGTGGAGGATGGCAATGTGCTCCTCATCAGCGGAGAACGCAAGAGGGAGGAGGAGAAAGAAGGGGTCAAGTATGTCAGGATGGAGAGGAGGGTCGGCAAATTCATGAGGAAGTTCGTATTACCAGAAAATGCCAACACCGATGCCATTTCTGCTGTCTGTCAGGACGGCGTGCTCACTGTCACTGTTAACAAGCTGCCTCCGCCGGAGCCGAAGAAGCCCAAGACCATCGAAGTTAAAATTGCCTAGGTGTGCGAATGGAAGGAAGTCGTAGTTTCATCGTATAAGAGTAATGTTGGCCGAGGTCGTGGGATTGAGTATTTGGTTCAGTGTTTTCATGGCTGTTTCGTTCTTACTATATTGGGTTGGGTATATGGTCGTCATCGGATTGCCACCTAGACGATGACACCCATTGCCCTGTAGTAGTCGTCTATGCGTATTAAGATTGATATATCTAGTTATCTACTAATGAGAAGTCTTTTTGCTTTTTTGGCAATCTCTACAAATGAGTCCAGTCGTTTTCTATTTCTGTTTTTCCCTAATTCGATTGCCTAAGAAACGAAAAATCTAGAGCAAATGTTGATTGTTGGCGACTGGCGAGTGCCAGCTGAACAAAGGTCGTGTCGATTGAAATGTAGCACCCGCTCATCAAGATTTGAACTCACTTTGATCGTTCCTTGTGGCACAAAACTAGGAAACTGGGAATACAGACGAGATAGATTTTCTTAATGCAAACCGTACGATGAGTTTCTTCACAGTGAAAATTCTATGGATTCGACGTAACAAAAAACTTCCTCAAAAGTCAGGTGGCATTAATCATTGTATATGAATCCGCCTGCGTACAAAATGAGTAGTTTGTGCAGTTCTACCCCACCCAGTAACGGGAGGATACAACATGATTTGAGACATCCTAGTGAAAAATAAGGGTGTAGAAGTTATCTTGTTTTTAACGTTCTTTCTCGGACGTAACGAGTTTCTTCCGCCTCTACGTTGGTGAAGGAAGGTCCATGATCCATTCTTGAACGGGTTTTTAGTTCTGGTAGTTTTTGAAGGTTTCCTATGCTTCTGCTTTTCTTGATTACCATTTATCACATTCTTCCTGACAAATAGCGCAATAAAGAAACCTTCCATGTCTATGGTTGGATCAGTGCGAAGCAAATGTTCAGCTGGAAGAACAAAAAAGTTAGAAGTAAGAAAATGCAGTTGCAGATAGTTTTGATATGATAATAGAATCATGAAAAAAAAACGTTGACATATGATTGCTTTAGAACAACACTCACATCCTTCGAAGACTGGAAAACCACGGCGAGGCCACTGAGGGAAGGGAGTAGCCAGTTGGAAACCATGGGATGCTGCCAGTGGAAGAACTGACTTAATGACGTCCTCATTTTCTGCTTGGTTAATGGAGCAGGTACTGTAAACCACTCTCTCAACTGCTGGAACTGTAAAAATCAAATAAATCTCGTTATATTCTCTACCTTCTAATATAAGGCTTGGTTATGTTCTCAACTCCTCTTTGTTCTTTTTTTTTTTTTTCTTTTTATGTAAAGCACCATGATTCCATGAAATTCACGAAGCACTATATAAAAGTTCAAATCAAACTAAATCCCCAAGCTTCCAAACACAATATCTCCAAATTTGTTTAATTATTTTGATGAGTTTTCATAAGGTTCTTCAGATAAAAGTAAAGACTGGAAGGCAACCAAAAAATTTTCCAGAAATGTCATTTGTCAATACCTACTATCTCTACAAATACAGCTAATCCTACAGATCAAGCAAGTGCCGGCAGTCAAAGGCAAAGTTTTTAGTTTGTTTTTGCGAGTAAAATACCAGCTAAATAGAGCCAACTATTTTCTTGTTTGCTCCATTCCCTGATTTTTCCTAATATAGCCAAAATACACATACAACCAATTGTTCACAACAAACATCCAAAACAGATATTTTCAAGGGAACTCCATGGAAAATTGAACTTACAAGATAATGCATGTGCTAGAGCTTTTCTTTGAAAGGCAGCAAGCTTATTCACCCTTTCTGTGTCAGCAACATCAGCAGCTTGACCTATGTAAATGGAAAAAGTAAATCCATGCAATGGTTCAACTACAACAAAATATGAAACTTGAACAACAAAGATCCTATTTAATATATAGCTATTTCTTGCATATGGTTCAACTAGCAAGTAAATCCATGCAATGCATGGGGTTGACTAGAAATTTGGTCAGGTTTGTGTTGGCACTTAACCTGACCCAACCTATCTAATTTATACCCTTGATTTATTAGGGAGAATCAAAAGAGGTTCAGAGAGATTTAAAAGGAAATGTGGGATTAAATAAGGGAGGGATGATGTTACTAACATTAATTATTGGAGTGGGGGGAGGGGGGCTGAGAATGATTTTATTAGAGAAAGCAATGACGGATTTTTATTAGAGAAAATTAAGACTAAAGTGGCTTTGTGACATTTTTAAAAATTTAATTTAAAAATAAATAATCACATGAGAGAAATAAGAGAAGTTGATGAAAGGACTCTTGGTATATATACGGTATTTTGAATTTTTGATATCATGATGTAAGCTGTTTGTGAATGTGAGCTGCTTTTTCTTCTCTATATTCTTTGTGGAATGTAAAAAGAAATTTACTCCCCCAATTGTAGCAGGACAAGGCCTATTTATTTATTTATTTATCAGTAGGACAAGGTCTATTTATCAAGGGAGATTCATGGACTAAAAAGGAACCACCACAGAAATAGCTAAACAATGAATTGCATGGATACTTTCAATTAGATGTTTGAACAATATATTGATGCTCTGAAATCAACTACAGAATAACCTTGTTGCAATACAAAAGAAGGCAAGAGAAAGGAAAATTATGGCATTAGTGGTTTTCAGATGGTCCAGTTAATTGTGCATCAGAAACTGCTCATTAATATTGGAAAGAAAAGATCTTGAGGATAAGTAAAATTATATAATGGAATAGACAACTACAAAGCATATGAAGAAGATACAGATAATTACCTGCGGTATATGAGGGGAGTAAATGATCTAATCTGTCAGCAGAAGTCCCAGATCCAGAACAGGAAGGGTCCAAGAGAATGGCCCGCACCTGTAAAAGGTACATGACATTGTTAATTAGAGTATGTATAAGAGAATGACACAATGTATTCATCATTTTTCCTTTTCGGCCCAAAAAATTAACCTAGTGACTTTACTTTTAATGTCTATTTGAAACTAATAAACCCACAGATTGCAACATAATTGGGAGTGTATGATTTTATTTTTTTTAAAACAAAAATCAATTGTCACCACAGCAAAGAGGGAAAATGCCATGACTTGGAAAACAACTGTGGCTAATACTGATGTAGTAGATGTTTTTGTTTTGAAAAACAAAATCATACTAATTGGTGAACCCCCGGGTCAGAGAGGTCATATAGCATGATTCAAATATACAAAAGACTGGTGACTGGCACAGTTCTACCATGGAACACTCTAAGTAAGATGGATAAAAAAACACAAGATGCTCTAAATTTCAGAAGGTCTGGTCATCAAAATCACCAAAACATTATGGCGGAGTGAGAAATCCCAGTTCCACTTCACTCTATACCTGTAATGAGCATGTTTGATCTTCAGAAGATCAGCATTTTAATGTGTAACCCTACCTAGATTCAAATAGCAATCTAGACTAGATATGGAAAGTCAAYCCATAATCCAACATGAATGGGAAATGATTGGATATCGATACACCACCTGATCTGGACAGGATCTCAACCTGGATTCAACTACGTTTTTTGTATTTGTATTTGGATACAGTTGGATCTGCTCAAGATCTAACCCATTTCATGTACTAGCAGCAATGCATATTTCTCAACCAAATTCAACAATTGTGATTTTTTTTGTACTGCAAATATGTACTGACCTCTCGTAATACATATGATGAGATAGCAAGTAGATCCTTGGTCCCCCCCAATTGAAATTTTATCATCACCATCCAAGCCTTAGACCAACCATATGGGGTCGGCTAGTCTGATGTAGTTAGTATTAGGTTACTGCCAATGCTGGAAAATAACAAATATATACAGCGCATACCTTTGAATACAGAGGATCTTTTGTGTTTAAGTTTAAAAAGTCTGCATGCAAGACCTCCACATCTTGTATCAGGTTAAGGTATGAAAAACAATTGAGCCATGCCATCAGACAAACTCAAGGAATTTAAAGATAAGGAAAAGGAAAGTAATAAGAAAATAAATTCAAGCACTTGCAAGTTACAAATCATAACCTTAGAACTGTACCAACCAGCATAAAATACACAAAGAGAAACTAGAGGAATTAATTTGAGATGTCCCACATATATTTAACATAAACATTTAATTCCTCACAGATCAGGACAGTTAAATAACCAATCAAGACAACAGTTGTASTAGGGGTGAAGTAAGATGTTTTAGACTTATTGATCAAAAATGGGAGAAAAAATCCATATATGAAATCTCTTTCTTTTTATCAAATATAAAATGATCCTTTATGCATGGTCACCTATTTCATGAAAATCAAGTCTGAGAAAACGCTACACCGCACAATTACACAAGGGCACAATATAAGAAGGTGTTTACCTAAAATAAGGAGGGTAGGAAGGGTTAACCATGTTTTTCTGCCCACACCTTCTAGTATTTTTTAGCAACTTTGTTCATTCAGCTCCAATTTGAAAACATGTTATAATTCATTGCCAACAACTGAAGCATTTCTTGGTTCCATCTCTAAACAGAAGTGCCTGAAACCTGAAGGTAGGACAGACATAAGGTCCACAAGTTCCTTCGTACACATAAAAAAACAAGTTTCCACTATTATGGAGCAGTTCACAGTAACATGTATAGACTATTAGACTGGTAATCCATTTATTTTATCACTAGAAATTCCTTGTTTCTCACTATCTCAGACAATGCCAATCATCCTAAAAAGAATAATTTTTTACTCCTTCTGTGCAACTGTGCTATAAAAATTTAGACATTACAGATTTACAGTCCACAGAGATTTTTTAGGGGAATCTCCACCCCATGTGCAGCCATCCAATTATACATCTAATACAATATACTTTACTTTTTTCTCACAAAAAAAAAACCACAGATATTAGTCTTTGCTGAATCAGTGAACTATGATATTAGCAGCTAAAGGAAAGCATTTAAGAAATATGGAACTACGTATATGTGGCAGCTACTTGCATGAAGGATACTAGTTGCACCAGACCGCTTGATAGTGTCTTCTAAACGTTTAACCCTTTCTTTATTGAGCTCACATGCTATTATCTTTCCCTGTCCTTTCATGAGTGCAGCAAGGTGAACAGTCTTATTACCAGGAGCTGAACAAGCATCAAGAACCTTCATAAGAAAGAGAGAATGGCTTGAGCATTTTTTTGTAGTAAACAGTATTTTGATAAAAGAGAGAAAACGGATTACAAGAAATGGTGAAGATGTTTCACCAACAAACAAGAAAAACAACTACAACAAAACTGAATGAAAAGCCTTTAATTATTAGTAACAATATCCAAATCCAGCTAAAATGGCAAAAATGGAGTTGAAACAAGAACTGCAATGAAAATCAACTCTAGTAGTTGTTCCTTGAAATTAGTGATAAGTAGACGTTTTACAAGGACCTTAGATATGGCAGTTGATGTCTGTAGTAAATTCGATTAAGCTAACCAAAGCAACCATGTGGGAGAGCAGTTTAATTGTAGAATGTCCACATTGATGGTTTTCACTACAATTTCCAGGTTGTACTTTCTATAACATTGAGAATCAACTAAATGTAGCTAAAGATGCTCTTTGAGCTTATGCTTCCTTTAACTATCACAATCTTGGAAAGATTTTCTGCTTAGACTTGATGTAGTATATATTCCAGAAAGGCATTTATACAAGACAGTGGAGAAGGTAACATGGATTTGCCCTTGCATTCCCCATCAATACCCCAATCTAATGACTCAGCTTGGCTGACAAACTGGATTAGTAGACATCTGAAAAGTGCAAACTAGTGCTATGCATCTTCATTTTTTTTTATATAAAAGATTTTTATTGAAAATAAAGAAAAATGAGATCCTCCTTCCTCTTCTTACCCCTCTTCTTCCTCCTCTCCTTCCTCCTTCTTCCTCCTCATCCCCCTCCTCTTAAGGAGGCTTAGTCCTCCTTATGTCTGGGAGGCTTATGCCTCTTACATTCTGAGCAATGCCTCATGCCTCTAGGTAGTGGAACACCTCGCAGTTGCATTATGCGCCCGCATTTTAAAACATTGGAAGCAAGGTTCAAAGTATCGATACGATACGCCCAATATCTTTTGGGGTCCGAAACGCCTGTTTACAGGTATTTCGGGACCCCACTCTTTTTTAATAAAAAATATGCTAAAATATCTTCCCAAAAACCAAATTTTGAAAAAAAAAGCTATTTCTGCTTGTGTCTAAGTACCGATACGCCTCTGCCAATACATAGAGGTGTATCGATACTTTGAACCATGATTGGAAGCAAGGATTGGAATATCGATACGATACGTCCGATACAAAGCGTATCGTATTGGCATCGTTAATGTCCGGCACTAGATACGCTACGACTGGAGATGTATCCTGCCAGTCGTGTGTATCCCGCCAATACGGGTGTGTATGGGTCTGTATCGCACTGTATTGGCAGATACATATCGATACGGACCAATAAAAACAATACGCTACCCACAATCCACGAATGTGCATACTCCTCTGAAAAAGGAAGTTGGAAGGATTTGAACTCGCGTCAAGAGTTGGAAGAGATTAACGTCTGCGCCTGTAAGCCACCACGCCACTCCGCCTTTTGTGTTTATGAGTAAATGAATATAGCTTTTATTTCTTTATTACATAAATGCAATTCAAATAAATAATACATATTACAGTTAACTCCAACTATAAATTAAAAAGTAATATTTAAAATCAATGTTTTATAAAATAACAGTAATAAATAATATATCAAATCCATATTTATATCAAAATACTTTTTGAATCTCAAAAAATTTATAAAAATATAATATTAATAGGAGAATAATTATTTTAATACTTCAAATTTATAAATTTGAACATGATATATATATATATATATATATTAATTTACATTACATAAAATCATATTTATTATTTAGGAAATAAAGAAATTACTTACAAAATATTCAAGAATATAATCTTAAATTGAACCTATCAAATATACTATTCTACATTTATACCAAAAAAGATTTTTAATTAGAAAACTATAGGAATAAAAATATAATAATGGAATAATCATTTTAAAAGTAAAAAATTGTGAATTTGTATATGATATGTATCTTAGAAATTTTAATAAATTTGATAGATTTTAAGTTGAGATTATACATTTTATAAATTATTAATGGATATTTTAATTTACATAGAGAATTTAATATTTGGTTGACCTTTTTGTTAATGTAATAAAGTTGTGAGTAAACCCTAGTAGATTCTAGGTCAAAGTAGAGAAGAAGAAAGAAGAAAGAAAAGAGAAAGAAGAAGAGTATTCGGCCAGACTAGAAGAGAGAACGTAAAATCACCTCTCCTAGCCGACCCACTTGAATTTATTCAAAAAACGCTACAAGAAAGACTATTTTGTCCCTCATAGAAGATGGGACACATAACTTAAACTCAGATACAATAGACCTTTCTCTTTCAAGAAGATAAACCAGAATGACCAAAATACCCCTAACTCGAGCATTCTAACAAAAGTAAAAATAGGAAAATATGTTTTGCATTTTGGACTCTTGATTGATATATTATCAATAAAATTGTATAAAATCTATGCATCATATTATATTAATTGTAATATATTTTTTCCATATACACCATTAAAATATACATTTTCCATGTATTTATACATTATTTATGATTGTTTGACTTTAAATTTAATATTATTAACGTATTATGAAATTTTTATGTGTTACTCTAGCGTATCTATATTTTTTGTCCATATCCATGCGTTTCCAAAGCGTATCCGTATCCAAGTTGTCTGATACGATACTCGATATCGATACTTTAATCCTTGAATACTTGATTGGAAGCAATAATGATGAAGTCAACAGTAAATTACAGTTTTTTATAAAAGTGAACAGGAGCTTGAAACAACATTAGAAACAATCTAGTTCATCCAAAGGAAATCTGTACAGATATGTTTCTCCCAAGTTTATAGGAGGCGTGAACTTCAGAATACTAGTTAGCTAGCTACTTAGCTCTACTGAATTGGTAACATACAATATACATCTAACAATTTGACTATTTAAAACCAGTAATAGAGCCAAGGAAAGCATAAACCCAACTGAACTGACAAACTGAATTAGATATGTGCAAACTTCAAACTTGTTGATGCTGGAAGCAATAGTGATGGAGTTGGCAAAACCTTCAATTAAAACCTTTTATAAAAGTGAATAGGAGCTTGAAAAACAACTTCGAAATAACCAGTAAATATAGGAGAAAGGGAAATCAATATATATAGCTCTTCAAGTTTTAGTAAACTTCACAATGCAAATTAGCTACTTAGCTCTACTGAATTGTTAACATACAATAACATCTGGCAGTTTGGTTATCTAAAACCAGTGAATTGTGAACTAAAGTAGCTGAGAGAAGCATAAACCCACCTCCCAACCTGGCTTGGGCCTAAGGGCTACTGCTACCATGGAGCTTGCCTTGCCCTAGAAAGCCACAAAACACAAGACCAGGATTCAAATAAAAAAAAAATAGAAATAAGAGGAATGATAAAGAAAAAGTTGTGCTTATGAAATAAAATTTTGAGGCCCAGGAAAAAAAAAACAATATGTATAAGTCTGAAATAAACTTACTTGTAAAAAGACACTTCCATTCATGACCAAAGGATGATCATGCAAATCAGTTCCTGGTGGAAGTACCAACAAGTCTGGAACCATGTCGTCCTTTCTGGCCTATTCAGCATACACAGCAATACAAACATATAAAAAAAAAAAAGCATTCATTAAGGCTATCAAGAAAATGCATTCAATTGTGCATGATGAAAACATCAAAGAAAGAAAAGAAACCTTGCAGATAGAAAAATACATCTGGGAGAAAATTTGTTTGTGAACAGGCTTTATTTGGCCCATACTTCCAACTGCCAAACAAAGGCCAAAGCTGCAGAATTGCCCTAGCTCCTACATTGTCTCTTTTGAGAAAATTCTAAACGTTCCAGATCAAAACAACAATAGGCAGTTCCAAAATTTCTGGTTATCCTTGTTTATTTAATGACAAAACAAAATTTTATTAATAGAAATAAAAAAAGAATGCCACTGAAACAAGGTGTTGTAACACCTCAATACAACTTAGTTCTAAATATAGAAGATACAGCATTTGAATATTCAATCTCCTAAACCATGTCTCCAAACTATTTCTGCTATTCATGACCATTTTACCAATATCAGCTACAATTCCTTCACTCTTCTAAAATTAGTTTTTGAGAAGTCTTCTATTTTTTTCCTCAAAATTCCCCAACAAACTACAAAAAAGGATACAGATCCAACAGATTTTGGCTTTTTTACTGAATTTTTTGCCACTTCAAAAACATCTATTCCAGATTATTAGGCTGGGAGTACTGCATTCTAAATAGAGATAAATTGAACTGCCAAACAAAAATACAAAAGTAGCCACCTAACAAGAAATGAAAAGATGTCTCACATCCTCTTCTTCCCTCCTTCCCCCCAACCTCTCCTCCTCCCTTCGTAATAAGGTATATGTATTAATATCAAGAATGAGAATTAGCCAATTAGGTTAATAACGCCTCTCTCTCATCTTGCAGGTAAAAATAGATTGTGGGAATGTCAGAGGATGAATCAAGAAGGAACCAGCTCTTCTTGTAACCATTATACAAAATTACCATACAAAAGAAAGCCCTCAGTGGCTACATGACCACACAACAAAAGCCCACCATACAATTATACCAGAAAGGCATCTAACAAAAAAAAAACACCCATTAACCAGCCATTTTACTAGTATGGCCATATTTTACAAGAAAACTCGTCTTTTTTTTTTTGGAAGAAAGAAAATATTGTATTGATGTAACTTGTCAAAAAAAA